CCACATATGTCCATGGTTTGTGCGAGAAATATATCATTTAAATGACAACTTTGTGTAAAAAAAAAAGGTTGTCATTTTCCAGAAACTTATGGAAAAAAATAAATCTTCCATGGACTCAATATGCCTCTCAGCAGATAGCCTAGGGTGTCTACTTTCTGAAAAGGGGTTTATATGGGGGTGTTTGTACTGTCCTCAAGAAATGTGATGAACAGTCAGAAAGGAAAAGCTGTGTAAATTCCACTATCTATACCATAGTTTGTAGATGCTATAACTTTCACACAAAGCAATAAATATACACTTATTGGGATTTTGTTAACCAAAAACATGTAGCAGAATACATTTTGGCCTAAATCTATGATGAAATTTTAGTTTTTTTGGATATTTTTTTATGACAGAAACGAGAAAATAATCCTCTAGAGGGCAAGTGGTTAAGAGACCTGAAGGCACCCCAGTTGCCTGGCTATCCTAGTTGAAAAAGGCTGGTATATACTATATTACCACCATAAACCAAAGCACCACCTTTCTTCTTTATGGATAAAAAATATACACTGGGGGAATCCATCTGTTAAAACAGAAACGGCTTTTTAATAAATGAAACAAAGAACAAAAAAGTGAGCGCTTTAGAATGGACAAGCAGCTGAAACACACAGGACAACCAAAAATCCCCACATGAATATAAAATATAAAGTGCAGCGCTATAATTGTGACATAAATTATGAGAAAGGGATATGGATAAAAAAAAGTAAAAAAATGAATCAAAAATATAAGAGAAAATAGGTCCCAATGTAGAAAAGTCCCAGTAAAGGTGACTTCAGGCGGCTGTACACACTGACCACAGGTGCATGCAATATGGCAGAGATGGAGTTCAGGACGTAGTCATCATGGAAACAAGGGGGGTAGATGCAATCCCTGGATCAGTGAAGATCCTCAGACCAAAGCAGCACAGGATCCACTAGACAGCAAGGAAGAAATCACAGCTCCACCTGAGAAAACCACCACTCCTCCACTGCACATCAACGATATCTAGGAGGAGATACTCCCCACAAGGAATCAAGAGAAAATGCCCATGGTGAAGTACAGTAAAAATGGTTTAATGGTATAAAACAGGATGCATCCAATAAAATGGCAACAAATTGGCACACAGCTAGCAAAACATGAAGGCTAGCAACAAAGCAAACAGGACTAACCGTCCTGTCAGATGTAATGGCTGCCGGAGCTCCACAATGCTCCGACGGCGTGGCGTCAAGGCGTGCGCAGGTTCCTCCTTACGCGTTACGTGCCGAGCACATCCTCAGAGAAAAGAACCGGTTCTTGAATAGATTCATTGAACTCCTATTTTCAATAAATTGTTAATAGATGTCCCACTGTAGCATTCTGTTGTAGACATGCAAAATGATGAAAAAAATCGTTTTTGTTTTGATTCGTTATTTGATTAATTTTGTTTCATTCAATTAGTTAAATTAGTTTAATTTGTTTTTTTGGAATTCGTTTCATTTATTCGAATTTGACAATATTCGAAATTTCAAATGGATTCAAAAATAATTCTAACAGATTCTAAAACAATTCCAATGGATTAAAAAACAATTCTAATGGATTTGATAATGTTTCTAACATTACAATCCATAATCCACAATCTATATGTGTTTTTAATGCTATATGGGCTATATGAAGAGTTGCATGACAATATTGGAAATTTCAGCAAAATTTTCACAGTGCCTTTGTTGATCTCTACTCACTTCACTGCAGCACAGCTCACAATTTTTTTGTAAAGTATTTTTCTTTTCTATTCTATTCTCTTTCTATAATTTTTTATTCTATTCTGATGTATTCTGTTCGAATTCAAATTCATTCTTTTCAAAATTCGAATTTCAGAAGGCAGTTATATTATTTTTATTTTATTCTATTCTATTGTTTTTCTATACTATTCTATTCTTTGATTCTCTATTCTAATCTTTTCTATTCTATTCTTTGATTTTATTTTCTAATATTTTCTGTTCTATTCTATTCTATTGATTTTATTCTCTTCCTTTATTTTCTGTTGTATTTTGCTCTGTTTTACTCTATTCTTTTCTATTCTATTCTTTGATTTTCTATTCTATTTTTTTCTATTCTATTCTAATTGATTCTATTCTTTTCTATTCTATTCTTTGATTTTCTATACTAATCGTTTCTATTCTAATGGATTCTCTTCTTTTCTATTCCTTTATTTTCTATTCTATTTTGTTCTGTTTTAATACTATTTTCTACTGAATTCTGTTCTATTCTTTTGTTTTGTATTCTGTTCTTTTTTTCCCTCTACTCTTTTCTATTATATTCTTTTATTTTCTATTCTATACTATTGTTTTCTATTTCTTTATTTTCTGTTCTATTTTATTCTACTCTTGTTTTCAAATTTGAATTGTTTTTCAAATTTGTTTTCAAATGTTTTTTCGAATTCAAATTGATTAAAATTCGGACAAATTTAATTTTGTTATTTCGGATTCATTCAAATTTGTTACTTTTTTTATTCGGAATTCAGATACATCCAAATCTCTGAATAATTGAAAATTAATCTGAATATGAATTCGGAACTAAACTAAATACAGATGTCTATTCTATTACTCTTACTAAACCAAAATATATACAATGTCATTTGATGTCTCAATTGACAGTATTTTTTTTTTTTATTGTCTGCAGCTATTCAATGATTTATGATCATTTCATCTATCCCTGGTAAAAGAAGTTATGCGAACATTCTTTTGATAGAAAACCTGTATATACAGCTCTTTTTTTTATGTTGTTTGTGTTAAATGCCCTTGGCTATAGTCATGCTTCTAACAGCAAGGCTATCTCTCTGTCTGTTGGACAATATGACAAAAGCACACATATGTTTTTCACATACTGGCATGCTTAATTGATGAAAAAGCTTAAATTGCATTTTTTAAAGTCCTATAAATTGCATTATGTTTAGCCTGGGTTCACACTGATGCGATGAGGAATTTGCAGCATTTTCTGTGCAAATTCCGCACCGCATCAGAATCAAGCCCCATTCATGCGAACTGTTGCGGGCGTGTATGTTAACAACACCCCAAAATCGGTCCACAAAACGCAGTGCGATGTGCAGAATCAGATCGCATAGGTGTGAATACCCATGCAATCCGATTCTAGTGTGGACCAAAAAAAGGGTCCTGCACCTTTTTGGTGCAGGTGCAGTGCGATCATAGCCATACAAAATGTATGGCTCCAATTGCACCGAAAACACAAATCGCATGTGATTTGCACAGGAATGCAGTGCGGTTCCTGTGTGAATCACATGCGATATATCACACCGCATATGTGTGGACCCAGCCTGATAAGCTCAGATCTAGTTTCCCAGTTCTAGTCTCCATATATGGGGAGATGGCCTAAAAAATACTTTGCTGTTTGCTCCAAGCTCCCTGTCCACTCAGCAATGTTTTGTATATCTTGTTTCCTCCATCACTGTATGTTATGTCTACATTTCTCCTACCTTGGTTCACCTGTAACATTCAATAGTCCGAGTATGTAGCTTTTTGATTTAAGTCCCTGGAGGCAACCTAATACTGGCCAACTTACCTTAAGAGAAAGGATGCTGATATGAGTGTAGCAGCAGTTATGCACTATTTACATTGACTGGAGTGTCTGCACCCGGACCTTCCAGACTAAAAGCCGAACTTCAGACAAACAACCAAATACACATAAGAAATACATACTGTATATGAGAGCTATTTTACCTTCCAAAGTATTTGCATTTCCGTGTGTATCTAGTTCTGACATTTGCACAGATCTGGCACAGATCTCACCCCTGTCTAGGGGTGTCTAGGGCATAATACCTGTTTTCCCTGCTGCATAATGATATTTGCAAGTCTTTTCCCAGCTCTCATCCTTTCACTTAGTGAAAGCAGAAAGTGAAAGCAGAAACAGCAAACTGGTGACCTTATCTGTCACTCTGCTATCTGCTCCTATCAGCATGCCACATACACTACAGCACGTCTAGTTGGATGCTTCTGCTGCTTTTTCCTCCCCCAGGCTAAATGCTGTCATAAAGGGGTTAGCAAGAGGCTGAATCTAGGTCAAATCCACTGCTTGCATTTTGAAAAAAATTTAGTGGTGCATTAAAGTGTTACTAAACCCAAACAGTAAAATCAGTCTGTATGTGCATTAAAATATGCTTGGTATACTCACTGTGGAAACTAAGAAGTTAATGCTCTGCATTGTGTAAAAATTATGTTTGATCCTGCCTTCATTAATCCTCCCCTTCTTCTAGTGTCTACCTCTTATCTCCTGATAAGACATATCGTGTGGAGACACTGCACATGCTCAGTTTGGTGTGTATTGCTAGAGAGGGTTTTTTTTTTTTTGGGAGAGTGCATGTGATCAGCACAGAGCCAATCAGCACTGCCCAGACAGAAGTCAAGGGTTCTACATCTTCCTAGAGAAAACTCATCCTACAAGCTTTAACCAGTGCTCAGCTGGACACTGATAGAAGTCACAAGACTGCTCTCTCTACTGATGAGAAAAGGAATTTAGCAGTTTATATTTATTAAAATAATTGCATTTCCATGTTGTGTGCACTGTGGGAGACCAGATGTAGTGAATTCAGGGTCCTGGGTTTAGTAACACTTTAATGTTTGTTTTTTATATCAGTCTTGAGTGCAGCTTTAACCACCTTCTGCCCGCCCTATAATACAATGATGGGCGCAAGGTGGTTCTCTCGTTCTGATAGGACGTCATATGACGTCCTACCATTCTGACTGCGCATGCGCAGCTCAGGGAGCACGCAGCACGGCGATCACCGGTCTGCTGTGTCCCTCGGACACAGCGGATCAGGGAAAGAGCCAAAGATGTTGGCTCGGTCATGTGATCAGCTGTGTCCAATCACGGAACACGGCATTTCTCTCCTCTCGAACGGTCACGCTGACAGCTCAAGAGGAGAGGAGAGCTGGTAATCGGCTTTCCGCAGCGGGGACATGTACACTGATCATCAGGGCACTGATGATCAGTGTGCCCTGATATTCAGTGTGGCCCCAGAAGTGCCACCTGTCAGTGCTCATCAGTGCCATGTGCCAGTGCCCATCAGTGCCAAGTGCCAGTGCCCATCAGTGCCACATCAATGCCACATATCAGTGCATACCAGTGCACATCAATGCCACATATCAGTGCCCATCTGAGCTGCCTTCAATGTCACCCATCAATGCCAATCAGTGCCACCTATCAGTGCTGCCAATCAGTGCCACCTATCAGTGCCAGTCAGTGTTGCCTATCAGTGCCAGTCAGTGCCGCCTATCAGTGCCAATCAGCGCCGCCTAACAGTGCCAGTCAGTGCTGCCTATCAGTGCCAGTCAGTGCTGCCTATCAGTGCTGCCTCTCAGTGCCATATATCAGTGTCATGTATCAGGGCTGCCTTTCAGTGCCCATCAGTGATGCCTGTCAATGCCCATCAGTGCCACCTACCAGTGCCTCCTCATCAGTGCCCATCAGTGCCACCTATCAGTGTCCATCAGTGCAGCCTATCAGTGCCCATCACTGCAGCCTCATTAGCGCACATCAGTGAAGGAGAAAAATCACTTATTTACAAAATTGTATAACAAAAACTAAGAAAAAACTTTTTTTTTTTCAAAATTTTCAGTGGTTTTTGGTTTGTTTAAGGAAAAATAAAAATCCCAGAGGTGATTAAATACCACCAAAAGAAAGCTCTATCTGTCTCAAAAAAATGATAACATTTTCATATGGGTACAATGTTGCATGACCGCGCAATTGTCATTCAAAGTGTGACAGCGCTGAAATCTGGAAATTGGCCTGGGCAGGAAGGGGGTATAAGTGCCCTGTAGGTAGTGGTTAAATAAGTACTACAGTTTAAACAAGACATTTTCAATGTAATACATTTTACAAGTTTTTTTTTTACACAAAATAAACAAATTAATGAGTTCTATCTTTACAACAGAAGAGCAGCTAATTTAGTAATTAGAAGCCACACTTAAGCTCCTAGATGATAGGGCTGATTTAATAAAGTAGCAATTTTCACTTTAAACATAAATTTCATCTTAACCTATATGAGTATGTTGAATGAACACAGACTTTAGTGACTTGTTCCGTAAGGTTATATGTTTACCCGTACACCAATGCTTCATTATAGTGGTGGGCAGCACAGTTCATACAATCATTTTCAACTATTTCTGTCAACTGTCTATTTAAATTGAGAGCCCTCTAAATTCTGCTGCACCTTTCACTAAGATAACCCTCATTTTGTAGCGCCAGGGAAAAAGCTTAGCCCCCATATTATGAAAGCTGATACCTTAAAGTGTTACTAAACCCAGGACCCTGCATTCACTATATCTAGTCACAGTACACAGAACATGGAAATGCAATCATTTTAGTAAATATACACTGCTAAATACCTTTTTCTCATCAGCAGTATGTAGCAGTCTTGTAACTTTAGCAGAGCACTGGTTAAAGCTTGTAGAAGTTTTCATTCTCCTCTTACTGACCTGCGGGATTTCATAATCCCTGACCCTTTATCTGGACAGTACTGATTGTCCCTGTGCTGATCACATGCACCCCCCCCCCCCAAGAAAAAGAAAAAACTCTCTAGCAGAACACACCAAACTGAGCATGTGCAGATTGTCCCCGAGGCTCTGTTCTATCAGGAGATGAAATGGGGAACGTGAAAGAAGGAGACGATCAGAGAAGACAGAATCAAACAATCTTTTTACACAATGCAGTATAAGTAGTAGTGAGTATAACAAGCATGCTTTACTGTATATACAGACCGATTTTACTGTTGTGGGTTTAGTAACACTTTAAAGCCAAAGGAAAATCAAGATTAGAGGGGAATATAGAAAATACTTTTATGTTTCTTAGATTGGGCTTTTATTTTAAAAACTTAACATAATGTATAAAATTGGTTGTTAACACAAGGAAGGTTGCTCTTAGATTTATAAATGTTAACATTAATAAGTGTGATATGGGTCCTTTTGTGAGATGTCATCATCCAATTTATTATATCTATATATTGGTTTTAAAGCGGAGTTCCAGCTGAAAAAAAAAAAGTCAGCAGCTACAAAAACTGTAGCTGCTGACTTTTAAAATACAGTGAGCACTATGGATTCTTGCCATTTTTTTTTTTCCAAATTACACACTCGCAGAATGGAATGGATAATGCACTAGGCTTTTGAGTCCTTTATTTTTTGTGTTTATTTAGCTACAAGAGTCCCCAGTCTGAAGAGGGCTGCATCATCTATACCATCCAGTTACAGTATGACTGTGGGATACAGTGGATACTTGTGCCAGTCAGTTTGGATTGTCTGAAATTCCTTAGTGCGTGTCAAGTTACTTGTGTTTGAATCAGCCCTCAATAGGCTAATGGCTTTCTGAGGGCACAATAATTTTTCAGAAGACTGCCATGTTATCCTTTTACATCCACTGATTTTAATGCAAGGGTATTGAACAAACACCATGAAGCTGTCAATACTGTGTACTTTCTATTCCAATTAAAGCAGAAAGATCTGTACATAGAAGTTCACCAAGTTTTTTTTTTTGCTTTTTGTCCTGAACCCACAGTATATTCTAGCTGTGGGCTTGTTTTAGATTTTTGCTTGTTAAGATGTGTCCTGTACATCACTTCAGGGGCGGACTGACAACTCATGGGGCTCCCGGGCAATAGGGGATCATGGGGCCCCCTACTGACCCCAGGCCCTCGGGCAGTGCCCGAGTTTCCAAATGGTCAGTCCGCCCCTGCATCACTTACCACTTAAGTGGGAGGAACAAACATGATATATGGATTATGTAACTGGCAGCCATAAGATGAATTCTCTAGCTTATGCATTAGCAAATCAAAATAAAACAATGTCCATATTGACAGTGCTACAAAATATAGAAAAAAAAATTGTTGATGCAAAATGTCATATACTGTACAAAATAGGAAGTAAAAAGCCAAGAATCCTTAATTTTACGTTGTATAACTAAGGCTGGCCATACATTATACAATTTTCTTCAGATTTTTGGTTTAGATTTACCAAAAACCATATAATAAGGAGGGCAATACTAACAACACTTTCAATTGTATCCAATTAGGCAGACCCTTGCATTACATAGTTGAAGGTAAATCTAAAGGAAATTGGGCAGAAATTGGATAGAAATTTGTATAGTGTATGGCCAGCCTACAGTAAGTCTAAGAAGGACTGCAATTTTATATAAAAATAGATGACATTCTACCACTATTGCCAAGTGGTACTGACAGAGAGGAATTGATTGTGTCTCTGTTGAAGAAAAAGACAGGTTTCCTGTGTTATAAAGAAATTCTGCAAGTTAATATCGGCAGAACTAGTTGCTGTTTTACTCTGATGCAGTTTGAATATAATTTCAGCACTGAGGAATTGGCTTCCTGGGAGACAGACGTCCATTTCATTGCTATATCTTTATATCTTACAAACATGAATTATGGAACTAAGCATTATGTACAGTGTAGGAGTTTTGCAGTTTGTACAAACCTTGTTTACAAAGCATGGGCTGCATAACACATCCCCCCTAGTCATATATTATATTTCCTGGTGTAAAAAAATAAGGTATTTCTCAGCTTTACATTAAGCAATATGTTTAAAGGAGTGTTTTAGACATGGTTAAAACACTTTTTAAAGTGGAGCTCCACCCAAAAAGAGCGAAGTTCCGCTTTAAGGACTGCTCCCTTGCTCCCCATTAAGGATTGACACCTTTGGGGAGCGGGTACCTGAATTTGACAGGTACCCGCTCCCACTTCCAGTCCGATCACCTAGGTCAGTGGTGGGCAACCTTTTTTTCAACTGAGCCAAATCTCGCCAAAACCACGATTGAAATTTATTTTGAGAGCCACATTTTTAAAACTGAAAATACATCCCCCATATAGTAATTCATCCCCCATAGTAATTCATCCCCCATATAGTATTCATCCCCCATAGTAATTCATCCCCCATATAGTAATTCATCCCCCATAGTAATTCATCCCCCATCCATCCCCCATATAGTAATTCATCCCCCATATAGTAATTTATCCCCCATAGTAATTCATCCCCCATATAGTAATTCATCCCCCATATAGTAATTCATCCCCCATAGTAATTCATCCCCCATATAGTAATTCATCCCCCATAGTAATTCATCCCCCATATAGTAATTCATCCCCCATAGTAATTCATCCCCCATATAGTAATTCATCCCCCATAGTAATTCATCCCCCATATAGTAATTCATCCCCCATAGTAATTCATCCCCCATATAGTAATTCATCCCCCATAGTAATTCATCCCCCATATAGTAATTCATCCCCCATATAGTAATTCATCCCCCATATATTTATCCCCCATAGTAATTCATCCCCCATATAGTAATTCATCCCCCATATAGTAATTCATCCCCCATATAGTAATTCATCCCCCATAGTAATTCATCCCCCATATAGTAATTCATCCCCCATATAGTAATTCATCCCCCCTATAGTAATTCATTCCCCATATTGTGTCAATTCACTTACCTTTGCTCCGCTCGTTCCTCTCGCGTGTTCCCACGCCGTTCCGGCCTTCAGGGCGGACTGTGAGAGGAGAGGAGTTCGTCACGCTGCCCCGCTTACATCCTGACAGCCAATGTTTGCCACTCTCCGCGGACCAGATTAAAAGGTCCGCCGGGCCGTAGTTTGCCCATTGCTGGGCTAGCTGCAGAGTCCTGACTTTTGGGGCGGGCCGCCCGAGAGGAGGGAGGGGAGCAGGCGCCCAGCACACAGAAGAGCCGCATTAGAGTGTGTAAAGAGCCGCATGTGGCTCGCGAGCCGCGGCTTGCCGACCACTGACCTAGGTGATCAGAAGCGGAAGCTGTCCTCCCTCCCTTTCCCTCCCTCCCTGTAGTCTTTTGGGACACATGACAGGTCCCAGAAGACTACAGGATAATTCACGAAGCGCAGCGCTACTCGCTCATGTGCAGTGGGCACCCGGCTGTGAAGCCGCGAGCTATCACAGCCCGGTGCCCACACTGAAGATGCCGGCCTCCTGGAATACAGGACAGCCGGTGAAACAAGCTGTGGCGGACACACCACGGGACTGAGGGACAGGTAAGTGGATGTTTTTTAAAAGCCAGCAGTTACAGTTTTTGATAGGTTGAGTAGAACTCCGCTTTAACACTACATTTGTGACCACTTATTACATTAAATGATAATACTCTTTTCTGCTAATATGTTAAATCAATTTGTTATTCCCAATGCAAGCTGGAATACAGCGCTAGCAGTTATTAAATAAACTCTCATTGAAATATATTACTCCTAATTTAAAAACAGAAATAAGCATTTCTTATTCCATCTTTCTATCTTAGTTGAGAATCATGTGTCTTCCTCTCTGCTGCACTTTGCTGGGGTTGCAGTGCTTCACACAGGACTATAGTGGCTTCCAAGCCTATGAGCTAGATGTGGACAGAATTAGGGTGTTAACAGGGGCGGACTGACCATTTGGAAACTTGGGCACTGCTCGAGGGCACGGGGTCAGTAGGGGCCCCATGAGATGCCCCTGGTACCTTTTTAATAGGCTTTTTTGAGTTTGGGCAAGGACACAGGGGCCCCATGATCCCCTATTGCCTGGGGGCCCCATGAGTCATCAGTCCGCCCCTGGGTGTTAATCGACTGCTTCTGAGGAATACAGTATCAGGCTTAGAATGTGTTAGAGTTAGATGAAGCTGAAGGTAAGAGTGGAGTAGGAGGAAAAGGACCAGTTAGCTGTACTAATGTAAACTGTACCTGGCTCTTAGGTATTAAGCAACATGTAAACATTTATAGTAGATACAAAAAATACATTCAAAGTCTGTCTAAATGTAAAACAAAAGATTAAAAAATAATACACTTTGTAAACAGTTATTTAAGTTGTTGTGCGGTATCAAAAATGTGATTAGGTTGGCTGGCCATGCACTGATCAAAATTTGGCCAGTTTAGCAGGGAACAGACACATTTTCATCAGTTGTGTGGCCGTCCCTGCTTGACAAAAGTCTGTTGGAACCTTTGTATTGATCAGTGGCTACAGCCTATCAGTTTTACCTGCTGATCAGTACGGGTTCTGCTGTCAGAATACAAAGTCCATGTGGCAGGTGAGGGGATTTAGCAAGGAAAATAAAAAAAAACATATTTTTGCGTGCACATGATTGGATGATGGACATTAGCAGAGCTTCACCTTATTCATTAAGTTAAGTGAAATTTCCCTTGCAAGGTGAACAAACTTTTTGCCTTTAGCAATTCAACCCCTATGTCTGCTAGCTCATATGTGTCCATGTGGCTTTTCAATTGTTCAGAAGCAATAAGTACAATAAGTGAGTATTCTAGACTTTCTTATTAGAAAGGCTAGCATGTCTTTCAGTCTCTTAGGGTAGCATCCAGTACTTCATGTTCTTTCCGTAAAATAAAAGCTGAAAAAACAAAGCTTTATGCAAGCTTTATAATAAAGGCTAAGTTCACCTTTTCGCTCTGTTCTTGATCTTACAGCAGACAATGGGGCTGATCAATGTAGGATTGATCAATGCTGCATCCACCTAGGTGAGTATTATTATTATTATTATTTTTTACTCCCGAACTTCTCTTTTAAATGTTTATTTGTAAAATACTAATTATGTTATATAAATAATGAAAAGGTTTATAATAAAGAACAGTTTATTAGCTCATAAAAAAAAAGAAAGATGGTGGCATACCTTGTGGGTTATTTGCATACATTAGTCACTCAGCATAGATGCTGTTTACAATCATTTTGTATGCAATTAACCAGGAGAGGGCGAAGCTACAAATTCTGTTTGTCAACATGTAATCATAAAATCATAGCACTTCTGGCAAAAGATTGAAAAAACTAATTAACAATGACTATTAGGGGTTTATCTATAAAACAGTCATTCCACTAATATGAATGTTGTGCAAGCTGAACTAAATTTCACAATATTTTTTAGAATAGACTAACTCCTGTATCATGAGCTCCGTCTGGTGGCCAATATTCAGTATTGTTTTCTTAAATACCTTAACCACTTACCCTCCTGGAGTTTTACCCCCTTCCTGCCCATGCCATTTTTTGCGTTACAGCTCTGTGTTGCTTTAACTGACAATTGCGCCGTCATACAACGTTGCACCCAAATTACATTTACGTCCTTTTTCCCACTAATTGAGCTGTCTTTCTGTAGTATTTGATCACCTGTGCTGTTTTTATTTTTTGCTCTATTACAAAAAAAGATCGTCGATTTTGAGGAAAAAAACAATATTTTTAACTTTTTTGCTAATAACATGTAAAGTAAAAAAAAAATGTAAAAATTCTAATTTTGTCATAAAGTTAGGCCAAAATGTATTCTGCTACATGACTTTGCTGAAAAAAAATCCCAATACGTGTCAATTAATTGGTTTGCATTAAAGTTATAGCATTTACAAATGGCGGTATATATACTGTAATTTTTTTTTTTCACTAGTAATGGTGGCGATCAGTGACTTATAGCGGAACTGCGGCGTGCATTCTGACACTGGGGGGAACTGACTTGGTGTCACTGATATCCCCAGTGACACCAACACAGTGATCAGTGTTAAAAAAAAAGCACTGACACTGTACTAATGGCACTGGGCAGGAAGGGATTAATATGAGAGGCGATCAAAGGGTTAACTGTGTGCTGGGAGTGTTTTTACTGGGGGGGGGGGGCGGTGTGGTGGTGCTTCACTGTAAGCACACTGCTCTGGATGGCTGTGTACAGCACGGCCATCCAAAGCAGTGTGCCTGAGCAGACAGGGAGGACTGTTAGTAAAAAAGCAGCCCTCCTTCCTGTCAGAGATCCTTGGTAATCACTGGCCGGGACCGGTGATTGACAGCTGTGGCCGCGAATGGTGGCACAGGTAAGGCACGTGTACCCCCTACCCAGATGTATAAAATAACATATATATATATATATATATATATACTGTATATATATTATATATATATATATGTGATTTTGTGCACCCCTGCTGCCCTGTAGCAGTATATCTGCTATAGGGTGGTCAGGATGTGGTTAATGAGAAAAATGTTTTATAAATATACCCCAAAGACATTAAATTAAAACCTTGTAAGACCACTCACTGAAAAATATGATTTTATTTTTGCACCCATCATATCATGCAGCTTAAGAAGAGGGTTTAGGGAAAGGGGTCAACATTAGTAACCCCATGTACAAAGACAAGAGCCAAGGCAGGGTTAACCAGAGGAAGCTGAAAAATATCCTCCAACCTGTAAGTTGTGAATTGTATCTTCATGAAATTTAAAGCTAAATGTTAATCAACCTCTAAATGGAGAAAGCTCCAGCTCATTAAATAGGTACGGGCTAACCTCAGGGTTCATAACTTAAAAAAAGCCTTCCAGGTGTAGACGTAAATTCTAAAAGGAGATGGTTTATATGCACAGAGCACAGTGAAAATCATTAAACACTAAGCAATGCTGTGCTAATTAGAATGGTCCCCCAAAAAATGCAAGAATAATAAAATAAAATAATGTTAGTATATAAATCAGCACAAGCATACACTACATAAATGTGCTACTGTATAAATAATATGTAAACAATCTTTAGGCGTAATGCAAACACATAAATGGCAACCATGTGCAAGTGATGTACATAAAGTGTCCTTTAGATTATATGACAATAGAACAGCAACAAAAGTCCATAGATCTTCAATAGAGTGCTCATAAGGTGAATCCACTCCAAAAAGGATGTGCCAATATCTACATACCACACTGCTGTGATTACAAAACGTCTTACCGGAAATAAGTGACCCCCTTTCCCAGAGTGGTCATCACAGGAATAATATCAGGTATTTCTGCAGAATGGTATAAGAAACCTCCAGGGAAATCCAATCAGAAAAAGACGGCTATTCTCTGGAGAGCTTAGCTCTCCCAAGCCCAGAGCAGGCACACAAATAGGGCTGGATGTATCACAGATCTCCTCAAAATACTGCTCTCCCAGGCAGAATTACATGCAGCCAAAGAAATACAAAAAGGAAAGCACTCTCAAAAGTGTACAAAAAACTTTTAAAACCACTTGATTAAAATCAGTAGAACACTCACATAAAATCTCATGAGTGACAATGCTGTGTGTACAAATACCAGTATCTAAGATGGCGGCGGGCTGACCAGTATGCTTGCATGCATGTATAATAGTTCTGTCCTACGCATTTCATCATAGATGACATCACCTATGACCAGCAGATTCTTTACTCTTCCAATGAACCTGTCTACTTTACAACTGAGAAGGGATGCCATCAGGTTCACCTCTGGGATCCCTCAGCATTGGGAGATCTGTTGAAACACCCCTTGGTGTAGAGACCACTCTATCCAATTGACACACTGATGACTATCCATTTGTTTGTTCTCCACTTCTTGCATGTGGATTGTCAATAGGCTTGACTTTGCCCTCTGAAAAATGTACCCCACTTAACAAGCCAGCACAGTAGAGATGACCTGGTCTGCTTTTGGAGGCAAATATCCAGAGGGTATCCTGTCCACCAAGGACATATATGTCCCACCTCAATTGAATATACCTTTAAAGAGTCAATGATGAAATTTGGCATAAGGAAAGAGCAGAAAATGTGCTCAGGAGCCACATGCAGCTCTGCATTTGGTCTGGATTTGTTGGAAACAAAGTATAAAGTTGACTACACATCATACAATGTTCTTGTTCAATTTCATTTAGATTTACCTTCAACTTCAAGTGTTTAGGTTTGACCTCAGATTATATGGTTTTGGTAAATCTAAAGGAAATTGTAGAAAAACCCCAAACAATTAAAGAGCAAGTGCCATCACCAAATGCCAAAAAGAACACTATACCTGGTCACAGCAAGGTAGTGGGTTACACTCACAGGTTGGAGACTGGGTTTTAACCTTTTAGAGAGGTGTCAGGCTGTCACTAACTCACTGAAAGCAGCACTGCCTTTTGAGAGGCTTGTGGCATCTTGTGATGAAAAGATCACGAGGGAAGAGCAGCAGGAGAAGTCCAGAAAAACATTGCACTGCCTGAGCAGACCTATTTTCTGTGATGTTAGTTGTAGGGATGGTGAATCTGCCCAGGTTAGATTTGCCA